CCTCAGCCTCCCAAGTAGCTGGGACTACAGGAGCCCGCCACAGCACCTGGCCATTTTTTTGGTTGCAGCCATCATTGTTGTTTGGCAGGTCCGGGCTGGGGATTCGAACCTGCCACCTTAGGCCGCTTGAGCCACAGGTGCCGAGCCCAGATGTCCTTTTCTACACAGTTACTGAGATGATCATATAGTTTTCACCTTTAATCTGTAAATTTGATGAATGATATCACATTTTGTTTATAGAAGTTTTACATCTATATTCACAAGTGAGATTAACTTATAATTTTCTGGATTGTTTTGTTTTGTTTTGTTTTGTTTTTTGCAGTTTTTGGCTGGGGCTGGGTTTGAACCCACCACCTCCAGCACATGGGGCCGGCACCCTACTCCTTTGAGTCATAGGCACCGCCCCTTATAATTTTCTTTTCATGTAATATTCTTGTGTGATTTGGGTATCAAGATTATATAATTCTCATAGAATTATTTGAAGAACATTTCTTCATTTTCCATCCTCAGAGAAGAGTTTGTATAAAATGATTAGAATTACCTGTTTCTTGAAAATCTTCATTGCGCAAAAATTTTTAAGTATTAGTTTAATTTCTAGAATCATTATAAGACCATTCTGATTTTCTGTCTATTTGTGAGGGGTTTTTTTTTTGCCACTCTATTAATGAGGATATACTTTTTTTTTTTAATTCCCCATCTTTGTGTGTGTGTGTGTGTAGAGACAGAGTTTTACTTTGTTGCCCTCGGTAGAGTGCCGTGGCGTCACACAGTTCACAGCAACGTCCAACTCCTGGGCTTAGGCAATTCTCTTGCCTCAGCCTCCCAGTAGCTGGGACTACAGGTGCACCCCACAACACCCAGCTAAAAGGCAGGGTTTTGTTTTGCAGTTTTGACTGGGGCTATATTTGAACCCACCACCCCTGGTACATGGGGCCAGCACCCTACTCCTTGAGCCACAGGCACCGCCTAATTTCCCCATCTTATAATTATTTTGGAGGGGTAGAACTATCTTAATATTTCCTTGATAAAGCTTTTTTTCCTTTATTTTATACTTTTTTATGTCTTTATGTTTTAGGTATTTTCTTTTTAGCATCCTAGAGCTGTGTATTTTTTTTTTCAATCTAGTCTGAAACATCTTTTTGTTTCCAGTTAGTTCATTTGTTATTTTTTATCATTGATATATTTGGACTTGTATGGCGAATCTACTTTGCTACTTGTTTTCTACTTACTGCTTTTCTCTTTTTGTTTCTTTTTACCACTTTTTAAATCTTACTGGCCTGAATTCTTACTCCCACTACTCTTTTGTGAATATATATTTTATGCTGCTTCCTGGGCTAAGTGGTCTTTGATTAGGAGATCATTGTCAAAGGTATCTTACTATCTATTTATGTTACTTATTAATCTCTGAGTACCCTATGATTTACATTGGGAATGCTTTTTTCCACAGAATCTTTTTTCAGCTTCTACCAGGAGCTCCTGTTGAGAACTGGGCTCTGCCTGAGAGTTTCAGACTCTGTGATTCCACTTCTGCAGGCCCAATGACAGGATCCATTTTAATGTCCCTGCTGTTACTGCATCTAGATGCAGTTACGTTACCTCCCTTATGGGCCCACACTCCCAGTCAGGGATCAGCTTATGTTTTGGGGAAGATGATAGTGCTGGGAGGATTCTTGGAGACCTTTCCATCCTTTTACAAAACCAGTAATAGATACAGTTTTTCTGCAATGGTAATGTGCCTCAGAATACTTAGACTGCCTTTGTGTTGGAAGCAGAATTCTTTACTTTTTGCTATATTTTCCTTATTCTTTTTTAGTTTTCAATTTTATTTTTCAGTTGTTTTTTTTTTT